CTGTATTCTGAGTTAATAAGATTCTACAGTTGACCTCTTGTTTGAAGTTTGCTTCTTATGCTCTGTTAATTAATTCACTCATTTCATTGACGCGTGTATAGTATATTCAAAGGAGTACAGCAAACCGTATATAAATTGGATCACAAATACATTGCAGTGCTGGTAAAAGTGTCAATAATTGAAAATGCATCAATACAAAACTATTTTAAATGACAAAATATTTGCTTCTCTGCATTATCACTCAGACAGACCGTCTCATTTAGGCCGTATTGTTTGTAGTTTGCTTATTCTGACGGCGACTGCACACATTTATTCAGCTTTATTTGAATGTTTAACCCATTTGTGCCAAAGTTTGTCTGAATGGTTCAAGTCCAGTCTCGCAGGACCACGGTGCTACATAAACAATCATAAATATGAACACAACACTGGATATAAGAGCTATTTTAAAACTGTATCAGAACAGAGCAAGACACTATTGAACAATACATTTACTATGAATAGTTAACTATACACACAACTTTAATAAGACTTTACATATTTTTGGGTCCCACTTTATATATTAAATTACTTTAATTACGGCGAGGCAGTGGCGCAGTAGGTAGTGCTGTCCAGGGGCGGACTGGGACTAAAAATCAGCCCTGGCACTGTAGCCACACCAGCCCACATTACCACACCGTCACAGCCCCACCCAAGGACACGCACATTCACTACTTATATTGGTGTACAGATGGTAAAATTATATAAGCAGTACCATATTTAAGAGATATTTAAACATTTAATGTATGTGACTGGAACAAAAGCAACCCATTTATATATGCAATCATGTCATTCATTTTCTTTTCGGCTTAGTCCCTTTATAATCTGGGAATCAGCAACTTATCCAGCATATGTTTTACACAGCGGATGCCCTCAAAGCTGCAACCCATCATACTGGGTTACCCAATTCACAATTGGCCAACCCAATTCACCTATAGCATGTGTTTGGACTTGTGAAGGAAACCAGAAGGAAATCCACGCGAACATGCAAACTCCACACAGAAACACCAACTGACCCAGATGAGGCTCAAACCAGCGACTTTCTTGCTCTGAGGCAACAGCACTACCTACTGCACATCACACTGACCCCTTTCGAGACTAGTTCTGTTAATTTTATGTATTTGGCAATGTCTGACTTGACTGCCTTTCCCTTTTTTTTTTGCTCTTACTGTTTGTTTGACATTCTTGCCAGATTTTGATTACATCTGGGTAGCCTCAGATTGGGTCGGCCCATCTCAAAACTGGGCCAATTGGGCCAATGCCTAAAATTTACTATTATTCTTACTATTATCACCATCATCATCATAATATTCACACCTTGCACAAGATAAAAGATGCCTACATTTGAAAAAACAATACATATGAAAAAATGAATAAATAAAATAGGTGACCGGCCCACATTTAAAAAATGGTACGGCTCTTCTGGCATTTGCCAGAATTGCCAGATGGCCAGTCCGCCCCTGGTGCTGTCGCCTCACAGCAAGAAGGTCGCTGGTTCGAACGTCGGCTCAGTTGGCGTTTCTGTGTGGAGTTTGCATGTTCTCCCTGCCTTTGCGTGGGTTTCCTCCGGGTGCTCCGGTTTCCCCCACAGTCCAAAGACATGAGGTATAGGTGAATTGGGTAGGCTAACTTGTCCATAGTGTATGAGTGTGTGTGTGAATGTGTGTGTGGATGTTTTCCAGAGATGGGTTGCGGCTGGAAAGGCATCCGCTGTGTAAAAACTTGCTGGATAAGTTGGCGGTTCATTCCGCTGTGGCGACCCCGGATTACTTAATGGACTATGCCGACAAGAAAATGAATGAATGACTTTAATTACAATGTGCTTGCACTGAAATTAACCATTGTTGAAATATTTAATCAATTGCATGCGTGTTCAATAAAAAAGGTCAGGAGAGTTTTTTCTTCAATGTCAAAACTGTTAGTAATTTACTGGATACAAGTGTGAAGTCTCTTCACATTCCAATAGAACTGATTAAAGTAAATGATCTCTATTGTACTTATTCTTATGCAAGTATCTATGGAAGGTACGGCCACTTATTATAAAGTGGGAGAAAATAGAGTACTTTCTGTATATTTTCATGCAAAGTTTGACCTAAAAATCTTAAACACACTAAAAATCTTGTCACATTTGATTTTTAAAGTACAATTGTTGCTGTTAATACACAATTAACTATGGCTTTGGAATCACAAAGTAATTAAGTAGGTGGGTTTAGGTATTGAGTAGCATTAGAGATGTAAAACAAGATCATGCAGAATATGTACTTTAAGAACTAACAAACACCCAATATCTTAAGGCAGGTAAGGTGGTCACTAAAGTAATACTTTGACAGCAGTTTCAACTAATGCTGTGGCAATATCTCCCCTATTGCATTGAAACTGGCATCAGTACAATTAAGAAATCAAATTGATCAAATCCAGTAGTGACAACTTTAATATGGAGACACACATGCTCAATCCTCCTCCAGCAGCAGCTGCTATAGCAGATCTTTAACCTGCTGGAGTCTCAGAGACACACACGTTCACACACTTCTCTATTCATCACATTAATTCAGGCTCACAATAGGAGTGTGTCTGCTCCCTCTGGACTGAACAGCTTTGTCAAGTTCAGAGACCATCAGAATTTGTGCATTTGTGGAACTGATATCCATCATTCGTCTCTAACGTTCATATTTGGAGATGAGCATCTTATGGGATTCTGGCTAAACATATGTCAGAGTAATTGGCAGTTCATTCCGCTGTGGCGACCCCTGATAAATCAGGGACTACACTGTCAAATTGCTGGGTTTTGTACAATTCCTTGTAATGTTGTGGCGACACAAATTGATTTAGTATTTAACATAAAATCAACACAGGCTCTTTGTAGACGTACCCCTGTCTACATGTCTGGAGAGCGCGAATTATGTACCCAGAGATACGTCTGGCTGCATTTTGGCTTTAAAATTAATGAGATGGGGTGGTTGGACCCGCTTACCTCTATACTGGCGGCTTTTCCGGTGCCCTGTAGCTTGGCATGTACGTTGGTGGACTTGGGACGCAGAGCGAAGTTGACTGATCAAATCAAGGTTCGACAGGGTTGGGGTCCGGTGAAGAAGAGTTCCAGAAACCAGGTAAAAACCAAAGCTAAAAAATAAAATAAATAAATAAATAAACAACCTGAAAGCGTGGTGAAATCACACAGCAGCAATAGCTTTTCAATTTGTAGATTGCTTCTGAAAACACTATCGGTTGGGTTTAGGGATGGGGGTGGGCGAATGGGTCAGTCAGTCAACAGCAAGCTGGCCAGGTTGGCTGAAGTGTAAATTGCACCCTCTGGTGGATTTACGCGAGTAGAGGACACACAAGAGAAATTTGAGATCTTCAAAAAGCATACACAGCGCCCTCTGGTGGATTTGCAAAAAAAAAAAAAAAAAACACAAGTTGACGTACCTCCGGTTATGTATTTCGCTGTCCCTAGAAATGTACTTGTATAGCCTGTCTTATGTTTATAGTTCAAGTATTTTTATAGTATATGTTAGTTATGTATAGGTTTTTTTCATAATAGCTCTTATGTCCAGTGTTGTGTTTGTATTTATGATTAATCTATGTAGCACCTTTGTCTTGTGAGGCACGACATTTTGTTCCTCTGTATGTCCGCACATGTAGCGGAATGACAACAAAGCTTGACTTGACTTGACAATGTAGACCTGGGTACGTATCGACAATTAAGTCGTCCAAAAAAAATTTTGTTTTAGCATTGTGTTGTTTCAACTCATTTTAAATAAGTAGTTCAACCCAGGCTTATTCTGAAAACATAGTCCCGTGGATGTTTCTGGAGACCACTAAATACATCCCGGTAGGTATGTATTTTTGCAGTTTTTATTTTCGCGAATTCGCGAGAGGCCGCTGTGTGCACTTTTTTGCATCTCAAATGTCTCTCGCGAGTGCTGTTTGCGCTGTTCTCTCGTAAACCCACCAGAGGCCGCTGTAGAACGACCGTCTGTCCAACTGGCTTAATGATTGACATGGCGACCGGCAAATTGGCTGACCCACCCTCCTCCTTCCCTAAACCCAACCAATTTTACAGATTGATCCGCTCACCCGCTTACTTCCCCTAAACCCAATAGACAATTACAAAAGCCGTCCAGAAAAAGAAAAGCCCTCATCTGATTTTTTACTGCGTTTTCAGACTTTACCACATTCTCACCCTGTTATGAACTTGTTCATTTTATTTTTTGGAGGCTGTTTTTGTCTTAGCTGATTTCTGGAATTGCTCTTCCCAGGACTCGAACCCAGTCGTCGTCGTGACCAACTCCTCTCTGTGTCTCAAGTCCACCGACATACACGACGAGCTAACTGGACAAACTGGTTGCAGCGGAAGAGCCCTCAACATGGAGGTGAGCGGTCAGCCGGTAAGAGGCAAAAGGAACGGCGTCATACCGCCCGTAGCGTTCGCTTAAAAAATTAAATGCAGCCATACGTACCTCTGGCTACATAATTCGCGGTCCCCAGAAACGTCCGCAGGACTATGTTTTCAGAATGAACCTGAATTTAAGTAGTTTGAACAGACAGCAAAAGTAATTTTTTTTGAGAGTAAGATAAAGGAAAATTAATAAACGATTGAATCACCCCCCCCCCCCCCCCCCCTAAAAAATACTAACTTATTTCAGCCCAATTCTGTGTGCAATTTGGTCTAAACCAACTGCTAAGTTAATATTTGGAATAAAAGTAATAGGACCAAATTAAACCCAGTGTTTTGGTTAGTCCATATTTTACCCAAAATGGGTTTAAGTAACCCATCATTTCACAGAGTGTAGTGTCTTGTGCAATAGAAAAGCTGGAGTGTAGAATTTTGTTAAATTTCCCATAGCCTGAAGGTGTTTTCAGAGCATATGACTTATAACCTATAACTGAACCTATTTAATATGACCTGTATCTTCTATCTATATCCTGCACTTGCTGCTATTGCACTCCTGCTAAGCTCTGATCTGCATTTCGTCTCCTTGTACATGTGTGATCACACTAAAGTCGAATGCAATCTAATCTAATATGCAGATTTATTTCCAGTAGTTGTGAGTGTGTAGTTGGTGATCTTGTGGGAATCTGGAGCGTCCCGCGTCCCCACGTTCATGCAGATGAATATGAGTGACCTTACTGGCAGATGGCAGAGAGCAGAACATCCCACCGTCCGCTCATCAACACACTATTGTCCACACACGCCGAGGCCTCTGATTGGCTGAGAGCACAGAGATACGGGTATAAAAGGAGGCTGAAGATGATGGAAATCCACTTGAAGATCAGACTTCAGCAGAATCAGCATCAGTCATGGCCACATACATGGACGTGTCTTTCCAGAGCAGCTTCAAGACTCAACATGTTCAACACGCAAGGTGAGCCTCTGTTTTTTAGCATTATCAGTGTTGGTAAACCATGTCTTGTTAAATGTGTAACCCTGTAGAACGAATCCCCTCAAAAGACCACAGTGAAGTTGACAATAAGAGTAATAATGTCTGAAGTGCAGATGATTAACGTGAGCGTGTGTGTTTACAGATGCGTTCTCACGTGTTTGGAGAGAAAGTGTGGCAGCAGCTTGGAGAAGCTCAGATGTGCTGTCGGAGAGTATCTTCAGGCCTCAGATCTGCTGGAGAGAGCCGTGTCTTTCCTCACGCTCAGAAGAGTCTTACTGTCTCATGACGGATACTCCAAATATTCCAGAGAAATCCTGCGGCTGTTTCCCGACCATGCAGAGGATGTAGCAGCGTTACTGTCTGAAGAATGAACACCGGATACTGAAACACTCAGACTGAACATCAAGAAGCCTTTAAAGAAATGTACAGTTGAAGTCAGAATAATTCGCCCTCCTGTGAAATATTTCCTAAATGATGTTTAACAGAGCAAGGAATTTCTCACAGTATTTCCTATAATATTTTTTCTTCTGGAGAAAGTCTTATTTCTTTTATTTTGGCTAGAATAAAAGCAGTTTTAAATTTTTTAAACACAATTTTAAGGTCCAAATTTTTAGCCCCCTTAAGCAATATTTGCTTTCTATTATCTACAGTACAAACCCCTGTTGTACAATGACTTGCCTAATTAACCTAATTAAGCCTTTAAGTGCCACTTTAAGCTGAATACTAGTATCTGAATATCTAGTCAAATATTATTTACTGTCATTATGACTAAGATAAAATAAATCAGTTATTAGAGATGAGTTATTAAACTATTATGATTAGAAATGTGTTGAAACATATCTTCTCTCTGTTAAACAGAATTATACAGGAGGGCTAATAACTCTGTCTTCAACTGTTTATAAAACACAGATGCCTTAATTTGAGTTTATTTTCTTGCTTCAAAGAATATTTTTATACTTTTTTGTTTTTACAAATGCTCAGTTTTATGCATTGTGTGCATTATTATTAGCAGTTGCACTGCCTTATAGCTCTTTTGTTTGTAAATGTGATGCTTTATGCTGATATTTGTTTAATATGCATAAAGAAATTGAAACCAAAACTCCTCTAAATGGGAGTAAATGTTTTTTTATATCAGTATTGTGATTTAACAATGATCCTATTATTCTTAATGAGGATCTCAAGCCATACATCTGGACGACAGTCCAAAATAAAATATGATTTTATACGATAATTCTCTTTTCTGTCTCTTATTTCATTTGCATTGAACACTATTTCTCATCAAAATCAATCCTTAATTCATTTTACTTCGACTTAGTCCCTTATTTATCAAGGATCGCTACATGGGAATGAACCGCCAACCATTCACACACACACTCATACACAACATCCAATTTCATTCATTCATTTATTCATTTTCTTTTCAGCTTAGTCCCTTTATTAATCTGGGGTCGCCACAGTGGAATGAACCGCCAACTTATCCAGCATATGCTTTACGCAGCAGATGCCCTTCCAGTATCGGGAAACACCCATACACACTCATTGACACATATGGACAATTTAGTTTATTCAATTCACCTAAACCGCACGTGTTTGGGAACCAGGAGCACCTGGAGGAATACCCACACCAACACGGGGAGAACATGCAAACTCCACACTGAAATGCCAATTAGTCCAGGCAGGACTTAAACCAGCAACCTTCTTGCTGTGAGGCAATTGTGCCACCGTGTAACCCCATGCTATTTAGATTTTTTTTTTTTTTTTTTTGCTGTTAGAACATTTGCCTTAAATATACCATCAAAACCAAGCTCTGAATCAGATGAATATTTTTAATTTGATGTCCGTAAGTGTGTCAGGGCTTACTCACACTATGCCATCCGTACCGTGCCCAGGCCCGTTTCCCGGATCGTTTGAGAAGTGTGAGTGCGCTGAATCGGGCTCAAGCACGGTTCACTTAACCGGCCCTGGCCCGGTTGGAAGAGGTGTGCCTGAGTGCGGATCACTTGGGCTGGGTACGCTTGTGTGTGAGTGCAAAACGCGCCAAAGCCCGAAACTGAAAGCGAGACGTGACTTTTAAGGGACTGTTTCATATGGATTTATTAATCATTCTTACTGTTCAGTGAACGCAAACTGCCGTAGTTTATTAAAGACGAGAACCCCTCACTGCACGTCAGCTGCGCGCCTTCAGCAGACCTCCTCATTCCTGCAGCATCAGAGCTTTATGATTGTTTATGAGCGCCAAAAGTGGCGGATCTGTCTGGTGAAATATCTGACTGCGTGTCACCGCATCCCTAAGGACTGTTTGGCGAAATATTTGACTGCATGTCACTGCATAACAAACGACTGAAAGGATATAACTAGAGAACTCTCCACTGTGCTGCTGGGTGAGAGCGTATGGCAAGCCGTTTTAGCATTTAAACCTTGTTCTGACTATCCATAAATATATTTAGAGATATCTCTAATTATATTTTGACTAGTCATAATTATAATTCGACTAGTCAGATTGGAGATATCTGCAAATATATTATGACTGACTAGTCATATCCCTCCATTGAAAAACATTTGCAGATATCTCTAAATGAGTTTTGACTCGTCAAAAATCCAATTCAAGATATCTACAACTGTAATTCGACTATTAGTAAATTAATTAGAGATATCTTCAAATATATTTGTAAATATCTCTAAATATGATGAATTAAAGACATCTCTAAATGTATTATGACTAGTAAAAACTCAGTTAGAGATAGCCTATCTCTAATTACAATTGTGACTAGTCAAAACTCATTTAGAGATATCTGCAAATATTTTTCAATGGAAGTCAATGGAGGAATATGACTAGTCATAATATATTTGCAGATATCTCCAATCTGATTTCGTACTAGTACAATTGCAATTGCAGATATCTCTAATTGTCATTCTGAGTAGTGGAATTATAATTATGACTAGTCAAAATATAAATAGAGATATCTCTAAATATATTTATGGAGTCAGAACAAAGATTTAAATGCTTAAAAGGCTTGCCATAGAGAGCGCTTCTCACTAAACAGCGCAGCAGCGATGACGTAAGCGTGCCGAGGCCCGATATGGTGTGAGCGCGGGCCGTCGGGGAAGACGGGAGGGGGGACAAGCGTGCTTTGGCCCGGTTCGAGGCAACTGTACCTAGTGTGAGTACGGCCTCAGAGTTTGTTTCGGGGGTTTAGGATAGTAATGCTAGAACTGAGACTCTGTTTTTTAGAGTTTCCCACACACAACAATAGAAGTGTGTCTATTCACATGATAATGAGCAGGATAAATGCTCTGAAACCCCCCGGGGGAATTAGGCTCTGTAGTTTTGAGGTAGCAGCGTTTCCCATGACTTCAGGGTCATTTATTTAATTTAAGTGTATGATTATTTGAAATCCATGTAAAATTGAGGAAAATATATATTGTACTAATACTTTAAATATTAAATCAGATTTTATTTTTCGGTTATAATAACATTATTCAAAACATTTCTAAAATATTTCATTCTCATGTTCACGGTTCAACGCTGAGGATCAGATGACTGGCCCGATCGGATTAGTGGTTCAGATTTGTACTAGCCCCACCAAAAAAGAAAAAAAAAAAAGGTTAATAGCGCAGCCACATATTTTAAATATTTGTAAATCTGGAATATAGACAATGTTAATAAATGTATAATGAGCAAAGTGTTATGCAAATAAAAGTAGCAGTATGGAAAATGTGCAGGTATTTGATTGCAAAACAAAAAGTGGCTGACCTGCCAAACTGATGGTAAATTGTACAAAACAACACTTAAGTTTTTTCGTTGTGCTGCACCCAGTGGTGGAAAGAGTACTGAAAAATCATACTTAAGTAAAAGTTCCATAACTTGCCTAAAAACGTAGTGAGACTCCATTGAGTCTGAATGTGAGCTGAGGTGCAGCTTCCTCCAGGGTTTTCATGAACTCCTTCTGGTTGAACGGCTGCAGCTCTGGAGGACTCTGGGAATTGAGGAAAAACACAAACATTATTAGAACATTCCATCAACATTAAGAAAAACATTTCTATCAACATTACAAGAAGGTAATGAAAGTATATAAAGCTAACATTTACAGACTTTCAGTCCCTCTCTCTCTTTTTATTTTATTATATTTGATCTTACAATATTCTAGCTGTAAAGGCACTAATAAAGGTGCGACACACACCGCACAGATGATTCAGGGTTTGGGAACTCGGTGAGAGCAGACACACTTCTATTGTGAGCGTGATTGAATGTGATGAATAGAGAAGTGTGTGAACGTGTGTGTCTCTGAGACTCCAGCAGGTTAAAGATCTGCTAAAGCAGCTGCTGCTGGAGGAGGGTTGAGCATGTGTGTGTGTGTGTGTGTGTGCCTCATTGTCTGCTCCTGCTCCTCCATTGGCTGCAGACTGTGAGAAAGTGCGAGCAGCTCAAGCCTCACACATTGATATGGAGATTTGTGAGTATAAATAGAGGAGCTGCAGGCAGTGCAAACCAGAGCCCGAGATCTCCAGCAGATCCACACATCAACACCTACAATCATCTCAAAGCTCAACATTCAGCAACATCACTGCAGCGTCCGGCTCTTCTCCATCTGAAGGACACTTTCCTGACACTCGTCTGTCTCCATCTGCAGCTGAGAAAGAAGAAGAAGAAGCAGAGATGAAGATCAGCTCTCCAGAGTTCCTCCAAGCTGGAGAAAGAAAGCAGAGACGCTCCACTTGACATGCTGAGATTGAGCTCTTTCTGTCCAGAGAGGAGATGAAGAGGCGGAGATGAAGACTGCTGGAGCTGAACTAGAAGCTGCAGACTTACTTCATCATCTGAGCACGAGAGCTTCAGCAAAGTCAACAAGAGCTGGAGTTGAAGAGGCTTCCAGCAGCTCCACGTCTACAGCAGACGCTCAGACTCTCGCTGTATGAGGAGATGAAGACTTTCAGGAGTTCAGGAGAATCATCTGCTCTGATCATCAAGACTTCTGTGAAGAGACTCAATGAGCAGAGATCCTGATATAATAATGTCTATATTAGACAACTCTGACTTACTTCAGCTGCATCTTCATGAGATGTGACTGTTCTTATTGTCCTGTTTCAGGACCGAGAGACGAACATGAGTGCATCACTCTCTTAAGTGCTGATCCTGAATCTGCTGCTGCTTATTTATACAGCGACTTGTATCTGGACAAAGTGTGTTCTTCCTGTTGTGGGAAAGTGTGTGTAAATGTTGATCTTCAGTGAAGTTTGCTGTGAGGAGACCTGTGATTTATTTACTAAATCTTGTTGTTTTGATTGATATTTCTGATCAGAAGTTGCTTTTATTAAAGTAAATGTTACACACTTTGCATTAGATGCATCATCAGATGAATCTCTTTATTTTAAAGGGTGTTTATACGGCTTTATTCTACAAGCTGATAGTGTCTATTGTCGTGTGAAATGTTTTCATTTCTCGATATTGATGTGCTGTTTATATAAAGTGGCTCAGATTGAGCTTGTATTTGGCTTATTGTACTATGATGATCTTCTATTTAAGATGATCTTCATTCAGAGGCTTTATGATTCAGATTGAATCTTTTCTCTTTGGTCTATATTAGACCACATACATGTACCCTGCTTTAAGGGTTTGTTGATTCTCAACATGTGTTGAATATTCTCCTGTACTGTATACAGCAGTCACCGTTCCTTCTGTGAAGGTTTTTATATTTGATGATTGTCGTTTTAATTGATCATTTGTGCTTCTGTGAAGTCTGAAAAGATTAAAGCAGCTCACTGAATGTATTTCTGCTGCGAAATAAAACAATCAACTGAACATCTGACATCTTCTGTGGTCATTATCAGTTTATATTGTGATGGTTGCTTGTCAAAAAAGATTAGATACCACTCATTCAAAGTGTGCATGTTAAATCATAAACTTCCCTGCTATGATACAGCGGCTAATATAGAAGGCCTACATTCAGATTATAATTCATACCACACAATACTCTGCAGATACTAAATCTATTTTAAGTGGTTGAAACGTGCAATGTATACAGTTTGCAAATACTCTAATTGTCCAAAAGTTTTGTGGTGATTTTTCTTTACCCTGCTGAAAAATCCAGCTTAACTGGTTTTAACTGGTTGACCAGCCTGGTTTTAGAGGGGTTTTGGCCACTTCCAGGCTGGTTTCCAGCCATTTCTAGCCTGGTCTTAGCTGGTCAGGCTGGAAAATGACCAGCGAAATCCAGCTAAAACCAGCTTGACCAGCCTGGTTTCAGCTGGATATAGCTGGTTTTGGCTGGACTTCCAGCTTGGCTAGGCTGGTCAAGTTGGTTTTAGCTTGTCATCTTCCAACTTAACCAGCTAAGACCAGGCTGGAAATGGCTGGAAACCAGCCTGGAAGTGGCCAAAACCCCTCTAAAACCAGCCTGGTCGACCAGCTAAAACCAGCCAACCAGCCTAGGCTGGGTTAAGCTGGATTTTTCAGCAGGGTAAGCTATAGACATATTATTTTGAGACATATATAGACATAGACGTCTATAATTATTGGTTATTTAAAGTTTTACATTAAGGAAAAACATTTCCTTGATTTAATTTAAAATACTATTTATTGGAAAGTTTTCAATACAGAAGTGTTTAGCTAGCTGTATTAGCATGGCGCTTTGAAATTAGCAGGATACACCATTCTTAAACTACAGTTTGACCTGATATAACTCATACAACATCATCTACAATGGTAGAGGTACTAAACAAAATATTATCTTGTTATTTTTTTACTTTCTTACCTCAGAATTCAATTTTATGTTGTAACGTTAGCTTCTGTAAAGATTACAAGACTGACTGGAAAATCATCATGTGTGATTGTTAAGGAAACCTGAGGAAACTGAAATACCTGTCAACCCTCCCGTTTTTCCCGGGAATCTCCCGTATTTTACTGTTCTATCCCGCTATTATCCTGTAAAGGTATTTCTCCCGTATTTTCAGTCTTTCTCTGAACAGCCAAGCCTCCCAATACGCAACCCATACCGCCGAACCACCAGGGGTCGCCCCTTGCTCTAAATCGTGAGTCTTCTGTGCTTTCGCTTGTTTAGGAATGAAAAAACTTAAAAACACATATTGTGATAAACAGACGCTGTTTCCCAAACGGATTCTGTACTCGCGATTTGAAGCGGAGAGAAAGTCTGTTTTTTGTGTGCGTGTTTAAACAGACTTACAAACATAATTAATATTAATAACATATGAGGATGTCGATATCGGTAGGTTTTTTTCCAAACAACTAATTTCGTCTTAAATGAGCATAAAAAGTAACCCCACAGAGAAATCCAGCTTAAACCAGCCTAGGCTGGTTGGCTGGTTTTAGCTAGTCGACCAGCCTGGTTTTAGAGGGTTTTTGGCCATTTCCAGGCTGGTTTCCAGCCATTTCCAGCCTGGTCTTAGCTGGTCAGGCTGGGAGATGACCAGCTAAAACCAGCTTGACCAGCCTAGCCAGGCTAGGAGTCCAGCCAAAACCAGCTATGTCCAGCTTAAACCAGGCTGGTGAAGCTGGTTTAAGCTGGATTTAGCTGGCCATGTTTATTTATTTATTTATTTGTTAATAATAATTATTAAACATATTACCGACCATTAAGGAACATCACAATGTTTCTTAACCAATGTCTTATCCCTAATCTTCTCCCTGTGTTTCAACTGTAGCCGGTCTCCTCAAACATATCCAAAAGAGGGAGACAGAGACGCGGGAATAGTTAACCAGGCTTTAGTCTGAAGAGCGCAGTAACTAGTCAAAGATTCTCAAATTATGAGTATAAGAAAAAATACATGATGGGGAATTAATGTCTAACTCCATTTAAATAGTTTAATATAATTTTCTAAAACACCTACAGTTGCAATCAGAATTATTAAACCCTTGAATTATTAGCCCCCCCCCCCTAAATCTGTTTAACAGAGAGACTTTTTCAACACATTTCTACTCATAATAGTTTTAATAACTCATCTTTTATCACTGATTTATTTTATCTTTGACATGATGACAGTAAATAATATTTGACTAGATATTTTTCAAGACACTATACAGCTTAAAGTGACATTTAAAGACTTAACTTAGGTTAATTAATTAGGTTAACTAGGCAGGTTAGGGTAATTAAGCAAGTTATTGTATAACGATGGTTTGTTCTGTAGACTATTAAAACAAAATATAGTTTAAAGGGGCTAATAATTTTGACCTTAAATGTTTTTTAAAAATTAAAACTGCTTTTATTCTGGCCCAAATAACACAAATAAGACTTTCTCCAGAAGAAAAAATATTATCAGACATACTGTGAAAATTTCCCTGCTCTGTTAAACATAATTTGGGAAATATTAAAAAAAAAGAAATTCAAAGGGGGTTTAATAATTCTGGTTGCAACTGTAAATCAATATTGTCTGTGAAAAATACTTACAAAACAGACCTGACACCCAAACATATTTCCGTATAAGAGCCTGAAGGCTATATCAAATATAACACACACATATACAGTAGCCTATTTACATATTTGTAATTCCAGTGGCTAAAAAAATAAGTTAACAGCCATTATTGCAATATTTTGATGTCGCATGTCACATATGACAAATATTTTATATAAAAGAGTTCAGAAGCAAAACCCTTTAAATGCCATCTGAAATGGTCTACTATTTACTATTTACTATTTTGTAAGTAATTAAATATTTTCTGTCTGTCTAGTTTTGAAGCAGGAAACATTGCTGCAAATGAAGAAACTGAATGGATATTATGGTGAAATATTTTTATTTCCTCTATTGGACACAGTTGTTCATATTTAGAACAATGTTTGATCACAATGCTTATATAAAATAACATTTACTCCCATCAAAGGAGCTTCGGTTTAAACATCGCCTCATGCTTTTTCAATGAAAACAGCATAAAGTACCAATTATTAAGAAATTAAATATATTGCAGTGTATAACTGCCAAAAATAATGCATATGATGCATAAAAATGTGCATTTGTTAAAACAAAGATATACAAATATTCCTACGAGCAATAAAGGTGAACATAATGAAGATCACAGATAAGGCATTGCGGATTTTTTTAAAGTCTTGTGTTTCAGTATCCGGTGTTCATTCTTCAGACAGTAACGCTGCTACGTCCTCTGTATGGTCGGGAAACAGCCGCAGGATTTCTCTGGAATATTTGGAGTATCCGTCATGAGACAGTAAGACTCTTCTGAGCGTGAGGAAAGACACGGCTCTCTCCAGCAGATCTGAGGCCTGAAGATACTCTGCGACAGCACATCTGAGCTTCTCCAAGCTGCTGCCACACTTTCTCTCCAAACACGTGAGAACGCATCTGTAAACACACACGCTCACGTTAATCATCTGCACTTCAGACATTATTTCTCTTATTGTCAACTTCACTGTGCTCTTTTGAGGGGATTCGTTACACATTTAACAAGACACACAACATTGATAATACTAAAAAACAGAGACTATCTTTTATAGATAATAACTGAGCAAATTAATAACATGAGGAACAAATGCAAATGTAAATATGTTGATCAAGTTGATGCTACGGGGAGATCCTGAGGGACATGAGTCTGAAACAGCAGATCTGCTTGCTTTAAAACCCGGAGTTCATATACCAAACCCAGGAAATTTCACCAGCAATACTTTTGTGTTTAAAACTACACTGTAAAAAAAAACTAATTTTAAAGAAAATATCCTTAAATTTTTTACAGTAATTTTTTGTCATTTCACATTATATTCAAAACTTAGTAAAATGACAACCAATCTCTCTAAATTAACCGTTTGACTTTCATTTTAGGTACTTTATTATTAAAGAAAAATTACTGACATTTGTGTTTTTTATACAGGGAAATTACAGTATTATTTATACAGTATTTTTTCTGTTATTTTAAATTATATTCAAAAGTTCGTAAAAATTACAAACAATATCTGTAAATTAACGGCTTGAATGTTATTTTATGTACTATATAAGTAATGACAAATTACAGCAATTTGTCTGTTTTTTACAAAAAAATTGACGAATTATTTAAAGTGTTTTTTCCTGTTTTTTAAGTACATTTAAAATTACGTAAAATTAAAGTAATAAATTGTAATTACTTGCTCTGTAAAAAAATAAAAATAAATCGTAAAAAAAGGTCAAATGACTGGCAGCTACGGCTGCCAAACAAAAACCATAAAATTAAGGTAAAATTTCTTTGTTGAAAAAAAGTGCAAAAAATAATAAATCTACAGATATTTTCATGAAAATGTTTACAGAGAAACACTGTTATTTTAAAGACTTTTCCTAGATTATTACGATCAAATCCATTTAATAAAGTAACACGCTAAGAGTGCTCACATACACCTGTTCCAGATTCCGCTGATTGCACACACACAGTCGGAGGACTGTTATGAACTGATTAGATGCACTTTAAAAGCAGCACAGACGCACACGCCAATTGCTTAGTCTTGTTATACTGCTACTGTGAACATTATGATGCGGTTCTCTTCTTTGGCCTTGCTTTGTTTGTTAATTGTTTAAGTTGTTTGCTGCCAGGACTGATCATTTGCCTGTAAATTGACCATGACTCTGGATTCACTGCATACATCTGTATGCAGTTTGCCCTTGTGTTGACGTTCTTGCCTGACCATCTCTGTGTAATAAACCTGCATTTGAATCTGCACTTCTTTGTCAGGGTCCCCTCCACGTTACAGTTCCATTTCATTAAGATTTGGAACTGAATCATTTCATACAACTTAAACCTCTACATGTTTTAAAGTAATACTATTCAATAATATGTAATGTTATAGTTGTGAGAATTTTAATCAGTTGTATCTCGTTTGATGTTTTTTCCAAACTTTTTTGATCCAAAATAAAACTTAAATTACGACCAAGAGCATGTCTTGGCATTTTATTAAAGGCGTTTAATTGTAAAAAAATAAATAAATAACATTGTTTTTTCTTGAACTTTTAGTGCAGTCACTTTATTGATGGTGTTCGATCATAATAATCTAGGAAAAGTCTGTAAAATAACAGTGTTTCTCTGTAAAACTCTTATTGTGTTACTTTATTAAATGGATTTGATAGTAATAATCTAGGAAAAGTCTGTAAAATAACAGTGTTTCTCTGTAAAACTCTTATTGTGTTACTTTATTAAATGGATTTGATAGTAATAATCTAGGAAAAGTCTGTAAAATATCAGTGTTTCTCTGTAAAACTCTTATTGTGTTACTTTATTAAATGGATTTGATCATAATAATCTAGGAAAAGTCTGTAAAATAACAGTGTTTTTCTGTAAATATTTTAATGAAAATATCTGTAGATTTATTATTTTTTGCACTTTATTTAAACAAAAAAATGTTACCGTAATTTTACGGTTTTTGTTTGGCAGCCGTAGCTTCCAGTCATTTGACCTTTTTTTACGATTTTTTTTTTACAGTGTAGTCAATGAGCACATTTGTTTTACCTTTAAAGAGAGAAACCAACACATCAGATAAGATCTTAAAGCTGATTCTGCATCAGCCTCATTAATAAAGCAACCATCAGAGTCCTGTAATATTGAGTTTAGCTCATGTCAGCCGGCTATTAAGACTTTGTTCACTGTAAAATAAAATAAGCTGTGTTCCACACAATCGAGTTGTGTTGAGACAACATGAAGGAATTTAGTAAGACTAGTAGTTTGTACAAATTTAAGTGGATTGAACGCAACACACTCAAGTTAACAGAATTGTGTTGTTTCAGCTCATTTTTAGTAAGCAAACAAGCAGCAAACATCATCATACATCAGATATATTGTAGAGTAGAGTGTGAGATGATGCTGTAATGTCCTGGATGCTCACCTTGCGTGTTGAACATGTTGAGTCTTGAAGCTGCTCTGGAAAGACACGTCCATGTATGTGGCCATGACTGATGCTGATTCTGCTGAAGTCTGATCTTCAAGTGGATTTCCATCATCTTCAGCCTCCTTTTATACCCGTATCTCTGTGCTCTCAGCCAATCAGAGGCCTCGGCGTGTGTGGACAATAGTGTGTTGATGAGCGGACGGTGGGATGTTCTGCTCTCTGCCATCTGCCAGTAAGGTCACTCATATTCATCTGCATGAACGTGGGGACGCGGGACGCTCCAGATTCCCACAAGATCACCAACTACACACTCACAACTACTGGAAATAAATCTGCATATTAGATTAGATTGCATTCGACTTTAGTGTGATCACACATGTACAAGGAGACGAAATGCAGATCAGAGCTTAGCAGGAGTGCAATAGCAGCAAGTGCAGGATATAGATAGAAGATACAAGTCATATTAAATAGGTTCAGTTATAGGTTATAAGTCATATGCTCTGAAAACACCTTCAAGCTATGGGAAATTTAAGACATTCTACACTCCAGCTTTTGGTCCCACTTTATATTAAGTGGCCTTAGCTAATATGTACTTACACAGGAATTAATAGTTTGTTATAATGTACTTATTGTGTAAATACATGTATTTATTCTGTATTTAAGCTTGATTAAATACCTGTATGTAATTACATCTGTAATTAACTCCTGTAATTACATTTGTAAATACACTGTTGAGGATTCCCTACACCTTAACCCTACCTATTCCACCAAACCTGTCCATAACCCAACCCCTATCCCAACTCAAGAGCACCACAAGTGTTCTCAAATACATTATGAACACAGTAAGTGCATTGTATTTATTTTTTGATGCAAGTACATAGTAGTTAAGGCCACCTAATATAAAGTGGGACCCAGCTTTTTTATTGCACTACATTTAGAAATGCTGAGTTATTTAAACTCAATTTGAGTCAAATATGGACTAACCCAAACATTGGGTTAATTTTGATCCTATTAATTTAATAAGAAATGTAACCCAGCAGTTGGTTTGGACAGTATCGCACACAGAGTTGAAACAAGCTATCATATTTAGAGTGTGACATTAGAATAAAGCAACAGTAAACTCCAGTAAACAACTCAACGCTTGGTCAAATAGGTGAGGAAAACATCAATGTGTAGTTAATTTATTGGTGCATTCATTTTTCTTCAGCTTAGTCGCCGATTTATCAGGGGTCACCACAGCGGAATGAACCACCAATTACTCTGGCATATATTCTACACAGCGGATGCCTTTTCAGCCATAATCAAGCACTGAGAGTACATTAACTCATGAACCTCCAGTTCTGGGAAAATGTTGGGTAATTTTTTTTTTCAAATAAATTCAATTGACCCTTTTTAACCCAGTGGTTGTGTTTGTCCATATATTACCCAACATCGGGTTACAACAACCTAAAATTGTTGCATCCAGAGCAGGAATTGGAGCACCCAGAGGAAACACAGACGCCAGCATTGGGAGAACATGCAAACTGTTGTGTTGGTTTTTCCAAATAGATTCAAATGACCCTTTTTTAACCCAGTGGTTGGGTTGGTTCATATTTGACCCCACATTGGGTTACAACAAGAGTGTCAAACTCAATTCCTGGAGGGCCGAAGCCCTGCACAGTTTAGTTCCAACCCTGCTCCAACACACTTACCTGTAGATTTCAAACAAGCCTGAAGGACTCAATTAGTTTGATCAGGTGTGTTTAATTAGGGTTGGAACTAAACTGTGCAGAGCTGCGGCCCTTTTGGAACTGAGTTCGACACCTGTGGGTTACAACAACCTAAAATTGTTGCACCCAGAGCAGAAATTGGAGCACCCAGAGGAAACACCTACGCCAGCACTGGGAGAACATGCAAACTGTTGTGTTAGTTTTTCCAAATAGATTCAAATGATACTTTTTTAACCCAGTGGTTGGGTTGGGTCTAGACTTTAATCCTGTTAATATCCAAAAGTGTGTGGATTCCCTGGTCAAATATTGAGTTTGTGTCGGGGTTTAGGATGCTAATGACGCTAGAACTGAGACTCTGTTTTTTAGAGTTTCCCACACACACAACAATAGAAGTGTGTCTATTCACATGATAATGAGCAGGATAAATGCTCTGAAACCCCCCGGGGGAATTAAGATCTGTAGTTTTGATGTAGCAGCGTTTCCCATGACTTCAGGGTCATTTATGATTCTTTATATGCATCAATATTGGAAATACAGGCTTTTCAAACTACTTATTTAAACTGAGTTGAAATAACACAATGCTTATGTTTTCCTTGGGGACACTGTATTTGTGTTACCTTCAATCCAGCTAAATTTGTAAAAATTATGAAATTAACTTAAGCGAATTGTGTTGGGACAACATGAAGGAATTGTGTGGAACTAGGGTCTAATGAGGTCAAGTGACAGAAAATGTAATTAGTCCCCACTGAAAAAAAGTGTTGCATGCAGAACTATTGCAAACAATTTATTTGTGTTGAATTTAAACAGGGCGAGGCAGTGGCGCAGTAGGTAGTGCTGTCGCCTCACATCAGGAAGGTTGCTGGGTCGCTGGTTCGAACCTCGGCTCAGTTGCCGTTTCTGTGTGGAGTTTGCATGTTCTCCCTGCCTTCGTGTAGATTTCCTCCAGGTGCTCCGGTTTCCCCCACAGTCCAAAGACATGCGGTGCAGTTGAATTGGGTAGGCTAAATTGTCCGTAGTGTATGAGTGTGTGTGTGAATGTGTGTGTGGATGTTTCCCAGAGATGGGTTGCGGCTGGAAGGGCATCTGCTGCGTAAAAACTTGGTGGATAAGTTGGTGGTTCATTCCGCTGTGGCGACCCCGGGTTAATAAAGGGACTAAGCCGACACTCACCGCACAGATGATTCAGGGTTTGGGAACTCGGTGAGAGCAGACACACTTCTATTGTGAGCGTGATTGAATGTGATGAATAGAAAAGTGTGTGAACGTGTGTGTCTCTGAGACTCCAGCAGGTTAAAGATCTGCTAAAGCAGCTGCTGCTGGAGGAGGGTTGAGCATGTGTGTGTGTGTGTGTGCCTCATTGTCTGCTCCTGCTCCTCCATTGGCTGCAGACTGTGAGAAAGTGCGAGCAGCTCAAGCCTCACACATTGATATGGAGATTTGTGAGTATAAATAGAGGAGCTGCAGGCAGTGCAAACCAGAGCCCGAGATCTCCAGCAGATCCACACATCAACACCTACAATCATCTCAAAGCTCAACATTCAGCAACATCACTGCAGCGTCCGGCTCTTCTCCATCTGAAGGACACTTTCCTGACGCTCGTCTGTCTCCATCTGCAGCTGAGAAAGAAGATGCAGAGATGACGATCAGCTCTCCAGAGTTCCTCCAAGCTGGAGAAAGAAAGCAGAGACGCTCCACTTGACATGCTGAGATTGAGCTCTTTCTGTCCAGAGAGGAGATGAAGAGGCGGAGATGAAGACTGCTGGAGCTGAACTAGAAGCTGCAGACTTACTTCATCATCTGAGCACGAGAGCTTCAGCCAAGTCAACAAGAGCTGGAGTTGAAGAGGCTTCCAGCAGCTCCACGTCTACAGCAGACGCTCAGACTCTCGCTGTATGAGGAGATGAAGACTTTCAGGAGTTCAGGAGAATCATCTGCTCTGATCATCAACACTTCTGTGAAGAGACTCGATGAGCAGAGATCCTGATAATAATGTCTATATTAGACAACTCTGACTTACTTCAGCTGCATCTTCATGAGATGTGACTGTTCTTATTGTCCTGTTTCAGGACCGAGAGACGAACATGAGTGCATCACTCTCTTAAGTGCTGATCCTGAATCTGCTGCTGCTTATTTATACAGCGACTTGTATCTGGACAAAGTGTGTTCTTCCTGTTGTGGGAAAGTGTGTGTAAATGTTGATCTTCAGTGAAGATTGCTGTGAGGAGACCTGTGATTTATTTACTAAATCTTGTTGTTTTGATTGATATTTCTGATCAGAAGTTGCTTTTATTAAAGTAAATGTTACACACTTGATGCATCATCAGATAAATCTCTTTATTTTAAAGGGTGTTTATACGGCTTCATTCTACAAGCTGATAGTGTCTATTGTCGTGTGAAATGTTTTCATTTCTCGATATTGATGTGCTGTTTATATAAAGTGGCTCAGATTGAGCTTGTATTTGGCTTATTGTACTATGATGATCTTCTATTTGAGATGATCTGCATTCAGAGGCTTTATGATTCAGATTGAATCTTTTCTCTTTGGTCTATATTAGACCACATACATGTACCCTGCTTTAAGGGTTTGTTGATTCTCAACATGTGTTGAATATTCTCCTGTACTGTATACAGCAGTCGCCGTTCCTTCTGTGAAGGTTTTTATATTTGATGATTGTCATTTTAATTGATCGCATGATCATTTGTGCTTCTGTAAAGTCTGAAAAGATTAAAGCAGCTCACTGAATGTATTTCTGCTGCGAAATAAAACAATCAACTGAACATCTGACATCTGTGGTCATTATCAGTTTATATTGTGATGGTTGCTTGTCAAACACTGCGTTGTGAAGATTAGATACGATTTTACATCCTTTTTCAAACCACTCATTCATAGTCAGCATCAAAATTCATTAATTTTCTCCTCGGCCAAGTGCCTCCACCAATCTGGGGTCACCACAGCAGAATGAACCGCCAACTTATCCAGCATATGTTTTACGCAGCGGATGCCCTTCCAGCCGCAACCCATCACTGGGAAACCCATACATACTCATTCGCACACATACATACGCCATGGACAACTCGGCCAACCTAATACCCCAACACGCATATGTTTGGACTTGTGGGGGAGAACATGCAAACTCCACACAGAAATGCCAACTGACCACTGGGTAGCACTCTCGCCTCACAGCAAGAAGGTCGCTGGTTCGAGTCCCGACTGGGTTAGTTGGCATTTCTGTGTGGAGTTTGCTTGTTCTCCCCATGTTGAGCTCCTTCGGGTTAAGCCCGGCCAGGTTCCGTGGGATAAAACCTGACCTTCATGTTCTCGCATACGAGCCCCAACCCCAGACTATTCAACCTTGTGTGTCCTTATCATAACCTTGTAATTCTGTTCTCCTCAACTCTGATTCTCTCCTCTTACACACTGTTGATTGAAATTGATACAAATGCCTACCATGGATGTTCCAGTACTCTTGCCATACTTTCATGATATTAATATTCATAATAAATTTAATATAATCAATTTATAATAGGGTGAGGCAGTGGCGCTGTAGGTAGTGATGTCGCCTCACAGCAAGAAGGTCGCTGGTTCGAACCTCGGCTCAGTTGGCGTTTCTGTGTGGAGTTTGCATGTTCTCCCTGCCTTCGCGTGAATTTCCTCCGGGTGCTCCGGTTTCCCCCACAGTCCAAAGACATGCGGTACAGGTGAATTGGGTAGGCTGAATTGTCCGTAGTGTATGAGTGTGTGTGTGGATGTTTCCCAGAGATGGGTTGCGGCTGGAAGGGCATCCGCTGCGTAAAAACTTGCTGGATAAGTTGCCGGTTCATTCTGCTGTGGTGACCCCGGATTAATAAA